TCTGCGAGAGTTCAGGTTCTGTAGTCGTTGCTATAAAAGTGAAAGATCTATTACAACAGCAGTATTGAATATTATTTTTGCTGCCATATTATTGTGCTGATGTCACAAAGTGGAAAAGTTTGGATTTAGTTTAAGTTGCATGATCTGTGTCTTTATTGTTGACATGCTTACTTTGTTTTGAATGGTTTTTCCCTTTGTGGTGCCTCCTGGGAACTGGGAACAGGTGTGGAATGGCCACAGGTGCAATGGACTCATAAAACGAGGTATAAAAGGATCTGAGGAAAGAGTCCAGGAGAGCAGGAGACACCAGATACATCCATAGACATCTCTATTCATGTTCAGCCTGCATGTGAATGACTAGTTCAAAAAGGACAAGTATTATGCACTTCCCAGTGAACCTGTGCTTTAAAGTCCTCTCCCTTCTTCACCTCTACTCCCTGTAACACTGCCGTTGCACTCGTGTCCCTCTCACATGACTGCTGGGACTAATATTCATTTATGTCTTTTCCACTCTGTTGTCACACACACTGATGTGTGTACGGGATTTGTTCTCCGCACTTGACCCATCCCCTGTGGGAGCGGTGAGCTGCAGACACCGCCGCATTCGGGAACCATTTGGTGGTTCAACCCCCCAATCCAACCCCTTAATGCTGAGTGTGACGCAGGGAGGCATTGGGTCCTTTTTTTTTTTTGAGTCTTTGGTATGACCCAACCAGCAATTGAACCCTGATCTCCCAGTCTCAGGTCGGACACTGTACCACTAGGCCACTGTGCTGGTACATGTCTCCACCTCTCTAGTGTTTCCTCTACCTCCACCTGTATCTCACTGCTGATAATGGTGGCATCTGCTGAAAGATGTCTAGCTTCAAAAAGAACTTAAATTTTCAAGAATCATGTGGATTTGCAGTACGGCATAGTGGTAGTGCGAAGCAGAGAGCTATGACTACTGTAGGACATCCTCCAACACCTGAACATATTCTAAATACATACTGATGCTGGCAGCTACTGATTGTAACTAATAAAGTAACCTATAGTGTGTGTGCGTGTGTGTGTGTGTGTGTGTGTGTGTGTGTGTGTGTGTGTGTGTGTGTGTGTGTGTGTGCCTGGCAAATGGGTTGTGGGATGGGGGGTGTAACTGTCATAATTGTTTTTAAATTTGTGGGGAAGGGGTGGGAATGTGGGTTACATGGGATCATTTTAATCTGTAAAGCACTTTGAGATGCATTTTCTTTTGTTTGAAAAGTGCTATACAAATAAAGTTTGATTGAAAGTTAGGAACAGCTGAGTTAACCACGCTTGTTCAGCCAAAAGCTGTTTTAACAAGGTAACAAGAGAAGTGACTGAGCAGATGTACTCACACAGCCCGAGGGGCTGGACGCCAGCTGGAATCAAATGTCCTGAACTGAAGTCATGATGAAACGTTCAGTTGGCTGACTGAATCCAGACAAGTTTTAGCTAGATTAGCTCACAGCCTGTGTCTGGCTGGCCCAATCAATGGACACAACAGACAGCAGATCACAGAAAAGCTGCTATTTTTTAATCATCTAGTATTTTCTATCTGTTGGACTTTTTCCTCGATTTTTTTAAATTGCAAAACAAACAGATCAGACAATGAAAAAAAGACCATTTCAATGACAGGTGATGATTTACAATATAAACAAACAGAATAAAAAGTGACCAACTTCAAATATGTCCATCCATTTTCTGCTGCTTATCTGGAGTCGGGTCGTGGTGACCAAGCAGACATCCTAATCAGATGCCCAAGCCAGCTCAACTGGCTCCTCTCCATGTGGAGTAGCAGCGGATCTACTACGAGCCCCTCCCGGATGACCGAGCTTCTCACCCTATCTCTAAGGGGGAGACCAGCCACTCTGCAGAGAAAAGTCATTTTGGCTGCTTGTATCCGTGATCTTGTTCTTTTGGTCTGTAGCCCAGTGACACGTAGTGAGGCTTTTTTTTATTTCCCCTCCCATTCTGTGCTTTTATTTTGGCAGAAACCGGAAGCCTTTAAAAGATCCCGGAACTCGCATCGCAGTCTTCCCGTTTGAACTCTGCTGTTGCTATTTACACAACTGGCGTGTACCGTGGAAATTGTTCGTTCGAGCCGTTTGGGAAGAAGTTCACACGCCCAGCTAGCATTTCCCTGGAGAGTAGCGATGACAAAAGGGATATGGCATTGATACCCATGCCCTCTCCCTTATTGGATGAACCTTTAATTTCTACTTCAACGATTGTCCGCTCGGTTGCACAAGTCCTGGTCCATCTTCCCGTTTGAACTCTGCTGTTGCTATTTATACAACTCGTGTGTACCGTGGAAATTGTTTGTTTGAGGCGTTTGCCCGGAGAGAGAACGATCAGATACACGGTTCAACCTCAACAGTCACCCTTGGGTTGTGTAGTGTGGTCACCGCTGGACGGTAAGCTGTGATCATTTTTTAATTAGTGACTAAGTTTATTGCTGAAACATGATGGCTTCGTGTTGTTTGTAGATGGGACCCATGACTATTAAACGACACTAGAAACAGAATGCTCGAACATATTTGGCTATATATACTAGACATAGCAAACTTTGCAAGAACTGTTTGGTTGTGTTTTTATTGTGTTATGTTATGCTAAGCTAATGCAAGGCATGAAAATAGCTGAGTAAGTGTTAATCTAACTTTGGTTTTGACCTTTTACATGTCAGGTTTTTGTGCAGATCCATAAAAGGGCTGAAATCCTGTTCTTGTGTGGATATACTTGGAATTCTCAGCGCCAACACCAGGACTGGCTGAGATGGCGAGCCGCCCAGCCACCGCAGCAACGCGGTAGGACTGTTAAAGACGATACAAAATCGGCCCTTTTGTTTGGATTCCTTTGGACTCTTTCAAGCTGGATATCTGTTGTATGCAGACCCTTCAATGGACAATAGCATCTGTAGCTGAAGCTACAATAGCTCCATTCTCAACTCCCTAATTGGTTGAGACCTTTAGTGGTTTTCACATTTGTTATCTTTGGTAAATTTGTTGGGTTTTTTGTTTTACTTGTGTGGACATCTGCCAGTTTTCCCATTGGGTATTTAATTTCTGTCAATACACTCGATCCCAGCTGCTTCACACTCGGCTGTCTAATGAGCACCTGGACATGCCACACCTGTGATGTGGGATGGATTATCTTGGTAAAGGAGAAGTGCTCACTAACAGATTTAGACAGATGTGTGAACGATATTTGAGAGGAACGGTGTTTTGTGTATTTAGAAAATGTTTTACATATTTGAAATCAGGTCATGAAAAATGGGAGCAAAACCAAACGTGTTTCTATAGAAAAAGAGAGGCATTGAAATTGACCAGAATCATTCTCAGCAGGCCACAGATGCTCAAGGAACAGAAGTCTTTATGCTCAGAAACCTAAAATCCTAGTTTAATGTGAACACACTTTAGTGTTCACATGTATGCGAGCATGAGTTAGGAACTTCGACCCTTTAGGACATTTCCACCAGCTGAACCAGAACCTACAAGCAGACAAGAATTCTGGCCCTCACAGACGTATTACTTCTTTCATAAGAAACTCTTCTATCCATCACTTGTTACCTGTATTAATGACACCTGTTGGAAACATGTCATCTGTGTAGAAGACAACTGTCCATAACTTGAAACAGCCAGGTTCCAACCTGTCTAAGGGCACCCGGGACAAAATTGCGACGAGCCAAACAGGCAAGCGGCTTGGTGAGAAGAGATCAACCGTTAAAACAGTTATTATAAAATGGAAAAAATACAAGATCTCTGGCAATCTTCCTCAACCTGGTGCTCTACACGTGATCTTACCTCATGGGGTACAAATATCCATGAGAACGGTGAGGAAACAGCTCAGAACTGAACTACGTGGTATAAACACCACTTGTGGTTGGAGGTGGAAGAATGATGAGTTGCATCCAAGAACACCATCCCCACTGTGAAGCACGTAGGTGGAAACATTATGCTTTGGGGCTCCTTTTTATTAAGGACACGATAAATGGTTATGTATGGTGGAATTTTGGACAAAAGCTTCCTTCCATCAGTGAGAGCACTGAAGATGAAACATGGCTGGCTCTTTCAGCATGACAATGATCCCAAACATACCGCCTGGGCAATGAAGGGGCAGCTATGTAAAAATCATTTCAAGGTTCTCGAGTGGCCTCGCCAGTCACCAAATCTCAGTTCAATACTGAATTTGAGGAGGGAGGTGGAAGTTGCCCAGTGACAGCTCCAGGGCATCACTGCTCTAGAGATCTGCATGGAATAATGGGCCAAAATACTGGCTACAGTGTGTGAAGACCTACAGCAAACGTTTGACCAATGTCATTTCCAACCAGGGTTACATTACAAACGTTTGAAATGAACTTTTCTTAATGACCAAATACTTTATTTTTGCTGCACCATTATACATTATTCTTTTATTCCATCTCTCACAGATAAAACAAACCTTATATTTGAAAGTGGGACAGCTGGCACAGTCAGTCACTAGTCCAGACCAATAACTATTCACCCTCTTTCCTTCAGGCAAGAGTCCCAGTGGTCACCATCACACACTGGTGAAAGTACATCCCTGCATTTGACTCTCGGGCGGAGCTGCAGCTGTGGCTGCACTCGGGAGCTATTTGGTGGTTTAACCCCCCAACCAAACCCTTAAAGCTGAGTGTCAAGTGGGGAGGCATTGGGTCTCATTTTGGGGGTCTTTGGAATGACCTGACCAAGATATGAACCCCGATCTCTCAGTCCTAGGGCGGACACTCTACCACAAGGCCACAGAGAAGATATTTGAGCTGCCTCACAGTCTGGACAAGTTTTAAGAACAGCAGAGAGGCTCGTGACCTTTCAGCTGTCCTCTGCGGTCCAATTTTACATGTAACTAGTGTACTTAGTAACTTTAGGTTATTTATTTATTTCGGTTGGCCCGAGGAATACATGTTGTTCGCTTGTGTCTCTAATATGCTGCTGAATCAGAGACTGATCAGAAACAAGATGATGAAGTCAAGTGGTTACCTGCATCTCAGCATTGAGTCGAGGCATAGAAGCAGCTCTGCCCTGGTTCTCCAGACCTAAAACAGGGACAGGGATAGTGCTGCTGATACTGGTCTCCGTCTTCTTCTTCCCTACTAACACCTAAACACAAAAACATCAAGCTCAGCATCATTGTGGACATGTTCTGTGAGCAGTGTCTTTCAACACTAAACAGTCTGACCTGCAAACATGTCTGCAGAAATGTTAGAATTTTACTGATAAAAAGTAAAAAGCAACAACACAGACGAGTGACTATAGTTGTAAAATGTAGAGGCTGAGAGGCTCACAAATGTGCATCTATGACAGGAAAACTTGGATAATCAATCAATCAATCAACTTTTATTAACAGACTCGAGACCCAAAAATATAACAGCAATTGAAAAAAGATGTTAAGTATTGAGATTCTTATGTTTTACAGTTTGTTACTTTGGACCAAACAATGCAAATGAGGAGAAGATCCAACAATGATCTTGCGGCCCTCACTCACTTCAGATCTGCAATAATACTATAATAATATGTTTTCCTCTAAATGAAGGTGACGTTATTGTACAAAGAATTAAAATTCATGTTGAAGTTCCGATTATTTCATCAAATAAAACATGTGGTTATAGCTCACTTAAAACTTGTAAAGTGATTAGATCCTGCCACTTGAAAGAATGCAGAATGGATAGGAACCAGAATCAAAATGAGGAACTGGAATCAGAATTGTTCCAGAATCGGAAGTTCTCATCTTTGTACCAGAAATTAAGAAAAGGAAATTGCTTAGTCAATCGCCTGACCTTAATGGCATTACATTAATCTCCGAGAACAAAGTAAGGAACCTTGGTGTTATCTTTGACCAGGACATGTCATTCAAATCCCAGGTTAAACAGGTTTGTAGGATTTCCTTTTTCCACCTTCGGAATATTGCTAAGATTAGAAGCATCCTTTCCAGGAGTGATGCTGAAAAACTAGTTCATGCATTTATTACATCAAGACTGGATTACTGTAGTTCATTACTCTCAGGAAGTCCACAGAATGTAGTTAAAAGTCTTCAGCTTGTCCAAAATGCTGCAGCTAGAGTTCTGATGAGAATTAAAAAGAGAGATCATATCTCTCCTGTCTTAGCTTCCCTACATTGGCTACCTGTTAAATTCAGAATAGATTTTAAGATCCTTCTTCTCACATATAAAGCTCTTAATAATCAAGCTCCATCATACATCAGTAATCTGATTGTTCCATACGTTCCTAACCGAGCACTTCGCTCTCAGACTGCAGGTCTACTGGTGGTTCCCAGAATATCTAAAATTAGGATGGGAGGCAGATCTGTTACTTATCAGGCTCCTCTCTTGTGGAACCAGCTCCCAGCTTTAGTCCGTGAGGCAGACACTTTGTCTACTTTTAAGAATAGGCTTAAAACATTTTTATTTGATAGGGCCTATGGTTAAAATCTGATGTTAGCCTAAATCTGGACAAGTGGGGGAGTAGAGGGAGGTGGAGTGTACAGTCGGTAAAGACGGCTCTCCCTTGCCCTGCCTCCAACATGCCTCCATCTAAATAGGATAGATTATCCAGAGTTATCTCTGTAGTTATGCTGCTACAGGCTTAGACTGCTGGAGGACACACTGACCACTTTCCACACTCTACTGCTTTCTTCTACAATCTGCTCTTTAACTGTATTATTTCCTGCTATTTCAGCTGTTAACTTTATTTTCTCTCTAAGTGTTTTTCTCCCCAGAAGAAGCTACAATGATGTTCTGCTGAGCTGTGGTGGCCTCATGGAGGGGGCCATCGACTAGCACACTGCTGCTAACCACTTAAACATTCTCCCTCTCCTGATAATAACTTTTTGCTTTCCTTGACGTTGGATGTGCTACTACTAGTTTACCCGTTTAATTATAGATCCACTAGGATAAATACAATAAAGTTTATCTCTCACCAAATAGAATATTTACTAAGAAATCACAATATAACTATAGACACATTTCTTTGTCGTGTGTGTGAGTGTGTGTGTGTGTGTGTGTGTGTGTGTGTGTGTGTGTATGTGTGTGTGTGTGTGTGTGTGTGTGTGTGTGTGTGTGTGTGTGTGTGTGTGTGTGTGTGTGTGTGTGTGTGTGTGTGTGTGTGTCTGCTCTGTCTTCTCGATCCCCAGTGAGTCGTGGAGGATGGCTGCTTATACTGAGCCAGGATTCTCTGGAGGTTTCTTCCTGTTAAAAGGGAGTTGTCCTCTCCACTGTCGCTGCATGCTTGCTTAGTATGAGGATTGTTGTAAAGACTCTGACACTAGTCAGTGACACTAGTCAGTGACACTAGTCAGTGACACTAGTCAGTGACTCGATGCAACCTGCTGAGTTCCTTATATAGGAAACATTATTTCTGATTGGCTTAATGAACTGACCTGAATTGGAATGTTTATTATGTGAAGTGCCTTGAGACGACTCTTGTCGTGATTTGGCGCTTTATAAATAAACTTGAATTGAATTGAATTTTACCGTACATAACTGGTCCATACTGGTTTTGATCTGTAAATAAGTGTAACCTATTATAAATAATCTTGTCTCCTTACCATCTTTTCATTTTTTGTTCATGTAACATGTTCAAAAACATCTGTAATAATAAAACTGGTGATAAAATCAATGACCAGAAAGAGTTATCAGTTAGTATTTGTTTTAATAAACGTGTTCAAACATCAAACAGCTAAATAACATTAACATGATGACAGTAGAAGGCCTCTCTCCCAGGAGGACCACCAGGTAAAGCCTCTCCTGACCCTGGACACCTGCAGTCCTACAGAGAAAACCAGACCACAGGTGACAAAAAGACAATAAACACATTTTTACATTTATCCACATGAGAAGATAAAAATTATATTCTTCACACAAACTTTTTACTTCATTATAACGTGTCAGCTGTGTAAATCCCCGAATGTAAAACTACTTTTCACAGCAGAACTTCTGTGGTTGTGTGTAAACAGCTTCACTCTTCACCTCTAAGCTTCATAAAAACGCTTCTTTGCTCCGTTGTCCTTAAAACCAATGACAAGTTTAATTCGCTACACACACACACACACACACACACACACACACACACACACACACACACACACACACACACACACACACACACACACACACACACACACACACACACACACACAGGAATAACTGGGACCCGCGACACAAACTCGTTCTGGCTGATTTCTGCCTAAAATGTAATTTAAAGAACAAAAATACAAACAAAAATGTCTATAAACTGAACCGCTTTAAGCTTTTTAGGTTTCTACGGCTAGTTTTTAACAAACTTACGTTTAAAACTTCGTAGCTCTCCTCATTTTCTCTTCCTGTTGAAAATCCACAGCCGGCGCGCAAAGCATGCTGGGATAGCCTTGTTCTGTGAGGATACAACAGACCTGTCCTCGAAATGTGGGCGGAGCGAGGACGCGTTTGAGGACGCGAGAGTGAGTATTCTTGGAATTCGGACAGTGCTCGTCGCTGCGCTGTGACGTCATCACACTCTTACAAGCATCCTTCCCGTGGATTGGCAACGTGTGGATCAATGATAATGTTCACGTTTGTAAAAATGTGTTACGCAGAACAACTTCCGGTTCAAAAGGCTAACGGATCCATCATCCAATCAGTGATGCCTGTTGTTGCAGCATTGGTACCTACCTCTTCCGGTTTGTTTTTTGTTTTTGTGGTTTTCAATTTGTTGTTGCAATAAGTGATTTGTTTTTGTGGTTTGCACTTCAGGGCCACCGTACTTTTTCCATCTGATATTTATAGTTAAAATATTCTAAATATTTGACCTGCATTTCAGTAACATTTTAGGTTTGTATTAATAAACTCATCTTAGTCTAAATGACACATAAATATATGCAGTAACATATAATGCATTTCTGGTGCTCTACAGTCACTGTGAGGGAGAAGTTGTGCACCACAGATATCGAGCTTCTGGCTGTTTCCCTGCGCCCCCATTATCTCCCCAGGGAATTCCCACAGCTTTTCATCATCTTGGTCTACATTCACCCCAGAGCTGATGCTGCCAAAGCCACAGAGAACCTCATTAGCAGTCGGGATAAACTGGAACAATTAGCACCAGACTCTCCCAAGTTCATCCTGGGCGATTTTAACCACTGCTCCCCTGACAAGTCGCTTAAAGGTTTCCACCAGTATGTTACATGCAGCACACGTCAGGGGAAAACTCTGGACAAATGCTTTGGCTCGGTACCAGATGCATTTAAAGCCCTCTCCCTCCCTCCTCTTGGCTCAGCAGACCATCCTGCTGCCCGCTGCTTACACCCCAGTCATCAAGAGGATTAAAAAGGTGACCAGAAGCATCCAGCAGTGGACAGCGGGAAGTATTCTCACCCTACAAGGATGTTCTGAGGCCACTGACTGGGTCAGCCTTCTTTCTTCCTCTGATGAGATCAACGATCAAGTCGACACAGTATCATCATACATCTCCTTCTGTGTAGACAGCATCATCCCCTCAAAAAAGTCACCATCTACCTCATTAACAAACCTTGGATCACCACGGAGCTAAAGGAAATCCTTCACCGGTTCTGCACAGGACAAGAAAGAAGTCAACAGGGAGGTCAAGAGGGCCATTAAAGCTGCTGAACTGAAGTATTAAAACAATGTGGAGAAAAATTTTACCACAGGGGACCTTCGCTCAGCCTGGCAGGGGCTCAAAACCATGGCTGCTGTGAATACTGTGGTCACCGCCTCCAGAACCATCCAGGTGGAGGGCAGCAACCCCACCTCCCTCCCTGACGACCTCAACGCTTTCTACACCAGGTCTGAGACGGACAGTATCACCCAGCTCGAGGAGTCCAGATCCTCACTCAACCCTGGCAGCTCTGCACTCGCCTTCCAGACCGAGGACGTGATGAGAGCCTCAGGAGGACCAGGGAGAGGAGCTCACCCGGCCCTGACAACACCAGTAGTAGAGTTCTGAGGCACTGTGCAGAGCAGCTAGGAAGTGTGTTCCAGACTCTATTTCAACAGTCACACCGTCCCCCAGCTGTGGAAACACTCCACAGTTATCCTGTCCTGAAAAGAAGCAACCCGAAGTCTCCTAACGATCTTCGTCCTGTGGCGCTCACCTCCTTGGTGATGAAGGCCATGGAGAAGATCATAAAAGAGCACATTGTGAGAGCAACTGAGCCCCTGATGGATCCACTCCAGTTTGCTTATCGTGCACGCAGAGGCGCCGATGATGCAAAAATCTTCATCCTGGACTCCATCCACAAACATCTGGAGCTCCCCGACTCCTCCGCCAGACTTCTGTTTGTTGATTTTTCATCAGCATTCAACACTCTGCAGCCTCCCATCCTGGCTACCAAACTTTCCTCCCAATTTCATTTGGATGACCAGTTAACCCTGTGGATACTGGACTTTATAACCAGTTCGGGTCAACAACTGTCTCTCCGGTCCGTTCCACCTCCACCGGCTCCCCCAGGGCTCCCCCCCTGCTCTACATCCTCTACACCGACGACTGCAGATCCACACATCCCAACTGTCACCTGGTGAAACACGCTGATGATACAGTCGTCCTGTCACTGCTGTCAGGCTCCTCACAACACCACGGACCTGCTCTTCAGGAGTTTGTAGAGTAGTGGGACAGCTCCAAACTTGAACTGAATGTGAGCAAAACCAAAGACATGGTGGTGACCTTCTGCAGGAGGCCGAGGGATCCGGCTGCTTCAGTAACCACCATTATCCACGGGAACCCAGTGGAGGTAGTGGAGGAGTACAAGTATCTGGGAACCACCTTGGACAACCTCCTGAAATTCTCTGCTAACACAGAGGAGATTCTCAGGAAGTGCCACCAACGGCTACATCTCCTTAGGAAGCTCAACTCCTTTGGAGTCAGCTCCTCAGTCATGATGACCTTTTACTGTGCCTTCCTGGAAAGCATCATGACCTTCTCCATCACTTGCTGGTTCTACTCCCTAAAGCCTGGTTCATGCTTCTCCGTCAGCTCCGCAAGGGACAGACACGCACGGATTGACGGAAGCGTTTTGCTCTCATACTTCTCCGTCTCCTGGAGAGTGTTGCAAAGCAATTCCCCGGCAGGACAGCAGAGGGCGTAGCGCTGTTCTGTGGTATCCTGTCATGTATCGGTCCAAGATAGTGTGTTTATATTGTGTTTTTGTGTATATAAGAGACTTTTAACATGATACCCTTCAGGTATCCCCTGCTTTTATGGGCCATTCCCATCAGTACCGGGTCGGCCCGGGCCGGGTAGCGTAGGTTGTTTACATATCTGGGTGGCCTGGTATTTTTCCGGGCCAACCAAGGCTCATTCTCAGCCCTCTTCTGGAGGGGGTCTGCTTCAGGCCGACCAGGGCCAACACACCCACTGCTGACAGCAAATCCACACCTTCCATTAGAGCAAGCCTCTGATTGGTGGGTAGAATCAGCCCACATGGGCTTAAGGCAAGGATGTGTGGAATCAACCGGGCCAGGCTGGGGCCGACTGGGGCTACCCGGCCCGGGCCGACCCGGTACAGATGGGAATGGCCCAATAGTTTCCCTTGTTCATTTCTTATGTCACGTATCTTCTATCCTCTCGTGTTCTTGTCTGTGGTGTGGTTCTTCAGGTTTATTTCTCTTGAGTTCTCCAGTTGGTTCCTTCACATTTCTCTTCGGTTTGCTCCCAGCCCTCCAGTTGTGATTTTCTGTGGTTGTTCTTTCAGCAGTTTTTCAGGTCTAGTTAGTTTCCTCCTCTGGCTTTCTGTTTTGCTGCCCCACTCAGTTAATGTCTCACCTTCTTCCCATGATCGATCACCCGTTCACACACCTGTAATCTGTAGCTCCTATCATTACAACAACAATGAACACATGTTCCCACAAACTCACACAAAGCTGTGACTTCTAAGTGAACATGGCGTGATGCCCTGTTTCCACTACAGAGGCTTCTGTGGGAGCAGAAACACGTTACAGTCTCAGTAATAGTGGCCATGCTTGGCTCTAGTACCTGATTGACAGCAGTGCCCACCGTGTCCTCGACTGGGCTCTTGGACATGGATCTCCTTGTTCTGTCAACGGTCACCTCTTTGGGCCTCTTCGTCTCACATGAAAATGTTGGCTTGAGTCGAGGATCACAGGCTGGCCTGTGTAGTACAGCATCACAGCCCAGTGTGGATGGTAGAGGTCAGAAGATATTAAGTCAGACTCAAATATCTGGTGTAGTAAAAATAAGATTATTAACTGTTCTTAATATTTCAGTGTTAAAAGAAAAGGCTGTTTCCCTCGATTTACCATCATACTAACCCACGAATAAGATTATACAGCTCTCCCTTTTATAATCAAACAAAAACTCTGAAGCTCAAACAAAAGACAACATTTGAAGTGAATCTGTGGAATCCAGAATAATCCGGTTCAGACTAGAAGGTTTCCAGAAGATGCCTCTCATAAATAAAACAGTAAAGATCTTCTAATCTGACGTTATGACTGAGCGTTATTTACAGAAACATATCTGGTGTGGTGCCGTAGGCGGGTTTGGACTTACAACATGCCTCCGTTGTTGATGGAGGTGGAGCTGGCCACTCGCTGGGGCGAGTCTGGTTTTGATCGAGGCTGAAGAAGGCTGGGCGAGCCCTGCATGTGAGTCAGAGGCAGCAGTGGCTTAAACAGAGCCCTGACCTTGCACTGTGGGGGAGAGATGGATGGCAACATGCTAAAGACATCCAAAGGCAGCAGGCAGAATATTCCTGGACCCAGGTCCAACGGTGGTGGCTTGGTACCACCTAGACGTGGACACTGGGGTCAGAATATTCTTGATTGCAGTCATGCTTTTAGGCATTCTGTGTGAATATGTGGACGTGTTAAAGGACATGCACGTGGAGTGGAGGTATGAATGCTAGTAACCACCCACCAGTGTGACTGCTTCGTGTATGACTGGGGCAGCTGGAATCAAACAGCCACCGCGTCCCTTTGTTTGTTTTGCAGGATGACGTTATGAGTGTTTGTACATCTGCAGCAAACGTCTGTAGAACCAAACATTTCCTAGCTGCATGGATGAGGTCATGCAGGTACTCAACGTCTCTGAGAGCACATGCAGGTACATTCCGTGTGTGTGTGTGTGTGTGTGTGTGTGTGTGTGTGTGTGTGTGTGTGTGTGTGTACTTGCTTAACTACCCTACTTAGGACTTGGGGTTGCATGACTTAATTTTTTAAAAAGTCGACAGTCAAGTAATGAAAATCGAGTCAACTTTGACTAGTCGTTGATGACGTCATACACCTGAAGTGGGGTTGGGGGGGGGGGGGGGGGGGGATCAGTTGGTTCGCTGGAGTTTTTGACAATTAAAACTGCATCCACATTTTCAAAGTTAAACACATCTCTTCTAACATCGGTAGTTTCTGCATCTGTACTGCTCCACTTCAGCCCTCTCCCCCCTCCCCAGCTGCTTCAGCCCTCTCCCCCCTCCCCAGCTGCTTCAGCCCTCTCCCCCCTCCCCAGCTGCTTCAGCCCTCTCCCCCCTCCCCAGCTGCTTCAGCCCTCTCCCCCCTCCCCCTGCGCAGCGTCCGCAAACTCACTGATGCGCCTGCAGCCTCTCGGAGTTCCTGCTGCTCTAAGCATTAAAATAATTATTTCATTTTCTGTTCCTCACTTCTGATGACCTTCAATGGTGTCTGTTTGTTGCAACCAGCAGGTACAAAAACTAACTTGTTTTTATTTGACTATTTTTCTGTCCTGCCTGTTTATTATCTTCCTGCATCTCCTCTCAATCCTAAAGAAAAACTGCTACCTGGGTTCATATATATTCACCTCATGAGTTACCTTTGAACTGCAGTTCTAAAAGATCTACCGACCGCTAAAACAGCGGAGCGCTCACCGGCTGCATCAGTGAGGTGCGTCAACGGAGGACAAAACAGGTGATGCGCCCCGCTCCACAGCAGCAAAACACATCAGGCACAAATAACAGACAGAAAACATAAAAGGAAATGAGCCGACATGAACGATCGCGTGATAAATTAGTTTTTGAGGTGGCGACACCTGATTTGATAATGTTACTGTGGCCGTGCTCAGGACGCACATGTCTGGAGCGCTTCAGCAATCAGAGCTTTGCATGTGCAAGCTGGTTAAGGTTAGGATGGGGGTGAGGGGAAGGTTAAATTGCAAGAGGGTAAACGTCACAATTTGGTTAAATGTTCATTTTACGGTGGGCGTCTGTACCGACGCTCTGGCACAGCGCGTCGCCTCCCGACACGCAGGAGCTCGTCACCTGCTGAATTTTCCGAGGACAGCATCTTGTCGGTCATTATCACGTGACAGCGACTAGTCGATGAAAGGCATAAAAAGTCACTACAGAGCGGTGAAGTCAACTAGTTGATACAACCCCTACTTAGGACCAAAACTGGCATATTCACTAATCTTCTGAAGACCGATTAGGACCAAAACCTGGTCCTGGTGGACTCCCTGTTTTAGGAGTGAGGTTTAGAGGTAAGGCGTGAATAGAGTTTTGTTACAGTTGGGTGTAGGGATACACCAGTTAGGGTTGGTATGGAAACCAAAGGAGTGCACGCTCACTCGAGACCAGGTCCAATCGAGAACACCAGTATTTGGTTTTATGGGAAGCTGCTTTCAGCTGCTCTACAAGGATGATGAACTGTAAAGAATTTCCGTTTCTTTCCTGACCTGAGCTGAGTCTCTGCTCTGCCGGTCATCTGACTTTAATTTTCTGATGTGAGTCTACTTTTGTTTAGAGATCATTATGATTTTATGACTTAGTTTTATTTTGTTTTGATCTATGTGAAGCACTTTGCGGTTCTATGTCTGTGATAAGTGCTACTTAAATAAATTTTACTCAGGAGTCTTCATGGGAGCTGTGCCCAAAGGCTCTCCTAGTCTTTATAATCGAGGGGGGGAGGGGGGTTCTAGCGGTCATGCGCCAGTTAGCGTAGGTCATGGGCAGGCAGCCCTGGTCCTAGAGAGGCTTTGTTGTTCCTGTTGTCGATTACCTGGATCAGGTGTGTTCGGCCAATAAGAGGAGAAGTTCGTACATGGCTGGAAAACATGCAGGACTGCGACTCTCTAGGACCAGGGTTGCCTACCCTAAGGGCCTAATGGTTAGAGTAATGGGACTGGGTCATTTGGCCTTATAGATAAAGGACCAAGTAACACTATAACCCTAACACCTAAAAGAAGATACATGGTAAAAGTACAGTCAGTTATGGATGTTGAACCGACGTGCTTGGTAGGTGGGGGTTTCATTAACTATTTGAGTCAAAATCCTAATTACTTTTCTAGATTACTTGCACTATTGGTACCAGATTAAAAGATCTATTCCGGCACTACTGAATATCTCAGGCTTATCAGGATCTCAGGACTAATCATCAGTGGTGTCCACTGGGTCAACGAGCGTTTCGGCCAGTTAATCACCAGATGCTCTCACCAGTGGGGACCCCCGGGGTGATCAAGACCCAGGATTAGTTCTGTAGCCAATCTGGAGGTGATTTTGGTGATTGGGTGTTTGTCTAAAGTAATGGGGAAGTCCTACACATTTTGACTTGCAAGGTGTCAAGGTTTTGTGTTAGAGCTTACTTTAATATTGAGCTCGGCTTGAGAGTAGGAGTAATTCCTATTTCTTTGTCCCAGTCAGAACCAAGCAGTTAACCTTGACTTGGTTCACTTGAGGGGCTAAATTACTGAAGTTCTAGGGTTCCTAATGATTTCAAAGGGTTGGTGCGCGTAGGTCAGTCATCCAGTCAACTGAAGGGTCCAACACAAGGGGTATGATGAGGAAATCCAAGCGTGGGTGCTGTGGTGAGGGTAACCCTCACAGAAGACTAGGCTGCATTTAAGAATCCTGAAGCCCAACAGTCGCCTTTCCCACGTGCTGTTCCTACAGGCGGAACATTGGGGGGGGGGGGGCAGATAGGTAACGTGCCTCTGGTTTCAAAAACACCCTCTCCGTTAACACTCCCTTTTTAGGCTTAGGGGTGAGGTTGAGAGGTACGGTGTGAATCGAGGTTTTGTTAGAGTTCAGTTTAGGAATACACCGGTTATGGTTATGGTATGTGCTAGGCATAATAAAATGAATGGAAGTCAATACAAAGTCCTAATATGAATAGAAAAACGAACTGTGTGTGCGTGTGTGTGTGTGTGTGTGTGTGTGCGTGCGTGCGTGCGGGTCTGCGTGTGTGTGTGTGTGTCCAGACAATGTGAAGGTCTTGTGGATAATGTACCTGGGGGCCGGATGAGTTCTGCTGCAGCTGTAGCCTTCTTGCTCGATTCTGCTTGTAGTAGTCAAAGATCATCAGAGCTGCATAAACCTTTCCTACTGTCAGCTCATTGGCTGAGGTGTTGAGAGGAAAGAGACAAAAGCACGTGGTGAAAGAGCAGAAACAATTCAAAGACAACTCATCCCATTTTCAGTGGGGGGAGGGTTACGATGAATTACGATATGTTGCAATACCTTCAGCTAGACGATGATAGCAAATTCAATAAACAGTCCAAACTGATAAGTAACATGTTTAACATGAGGTATCTGGACCATAATAGAGGGATTCATATTTAAATGGTGGAAGCAAAACCCACTGCACACTGTTAAAGACTAGCACTCGGCGTCTGAACTGCACCAAAAGACAAGAAAACACAAATGTTTGCAAGTACAGTAAATCCTCTAATACTGGCCTGTATTCCATTCCTACATTAGCCCGTCTTGCTGTCAGCGAGGGTAAACAAAGGCTGGTCTCTTATAGTGGGCGGGACTTTTATGACAAACAGCGGGGGGTTCGGCGCCACTGACATTACCGGTATGTCCACGGGGAGGGGGGGGTACGAGGGTCAAGTCAGTTTCACACGATGTTGCATCCACCCAACTGCAGAGCTGGGTCAGGAGGCAGCCATTGCAGCACAGAACCTTACTTACTTTGTTGACTGGGTGTAAAAATACCCTAAGTCCGTGCGATCGGGACAAAAACAAATGTTTTTTTTTGTGTGTGTCCCGAAAGTCGTGCGCCACAAAGGACTTACTGAAACTTACTGAACAAAGACAGAATAGTGGATCATAATCTCCGTCTGCGAGATGAGCAGAAACGGGACGGATAGTTTGCAGTGATCACTTCGTCACAGGTAGGGGTTTACTGAAGGTTTTTATGGTGTTTTTTTAACAGCTTAGAAATGCAGCTACAAAAACAGCAGGACAACAGTTTGATACTATTTCCACGTGTCCTCACCGCAAATAGCTTTTAGAGTGCTAATGTTTTTAGCAGTTAGCTCTGTGTTGTATTGTTGCATTAATATCTTAATAAAATCAAACAAACGTATCAGAAGTTTGGATTTAAAAAGGTGTAAAATGTTAGTTTTAAGTAGATCCTAGCACATACTGTTAGCATTAGCTATCATTACGAGCTAATTACGTAATTAAAATAGCGGAGCTCACACAAGACAACGGTCATTTAAAGCTTCTCTGGATCTCTAAATTGTTAACCAACCTGAAATAAAATAGATGTAGGCTTTCAGACCCATAAAAGGCTTTTGGTTTGCGGCGTAATGTGAGATTTGCCACACGAGAGTTTGTTGTGTCGGTTCAAATAAACACAAAATCTTGTTTTTATTCATTCTACTGGTAGTTTATTTTGCTCAAATTGATTGAGGCCTGCCCCTAATGCTGGCCTCATGCTAGTAAAGGCATGAGCCAGGATACACTTGAGAAAATAAAGGCCCGGGCCTGTATTAGAGGATTTAAGGTAAATTCTTCCAAGAGATTTTCTTACATCCCTAATTGTTAATAGCTGTAATGGGTAAAGAACATGTAGTAAGATGGTATACTAGTTAAAGGCATGGTAATGGTAAATGGCCTGTACTTCTTAGGGTTCTACAACCCCCCCTAGGTGCTTCAAAACTCAATCCATCCACCCGTTCACATGCTAATGGGGATGAGCTGCAATGTAGCCACAGCTGCCCTGGGGCACACAGAGAGGAGAAGCCTGCCGAACACAGGCGCCACCGGTCCTTTTGACCACCACCAGCAGGCAAGGCAGGTTAAGTGTCTTGCCCAAGGACCCAACAGCAGCACTGACTGGTGGGAGCCAGGATCAAACCTGCAAGCTTCTGATTTCTGGACAACCCGCCTCCTGAGCTACTGCTGTCTCTATGACTGGACAGCAGTAAAATGGTGGACTTACCGTACCATAATTTATTTATATAGCACATTTAAAATGCAACATACATTTTCCTTTCCAAGCTCTTTGTTTTCTTTTCTTATTATGTGACTATTAAGCTTGGCTTATGCTTGACGCGTCCGCGAGGTCCGCGCGGCAAATTTGCATCATTTTAACAACCACGTCCCTCCACCGCGCCTCCGCACGGCCCAAACTTTCCGCATCGGGCACCTAGGAAATTTTCTAACCACGCGGACGGTCGGACGCGGAAAAACATGGCGGACCGGCAAGAACTAGTATGGCAGAGGTTCGTAAATACAGACATTTGTATGATTCAGCTCTCAGAGATCACCGTGATCAACATGTTGTTAATGATTCTTGGAGAGAAATAGCTCGCACTGTCGGAAAAGACGAGGACGCTGTTAAAAATGCTGGAATGCCATGTTGTAAACAGTAATTTCTACTTCTACTATGGTGTAGTGTTGGATGCATGCCGTAGAGCTCCATGCTGCCCCCTACAGTTTGGGAGAATATTGGCTCACCGCAGAGACGAGCCGCATGAACCATAAACGCTGCGAGTTGTGAAGCGCGTTCCATCCGCGAGCCGCATCACCAAGCGGAAAGTGAATGCGTCAAGCATAAACCAAGCTTTATCCTGTCCTGTCTGTCTCTGGTCCTGCATCTGCAGGATCTAGTTCTCCGAAAAAACGCTGCCTGACCGCGGCCGCGGAGGATGGGTGATGAGTGCAGCAGCGATGCGCGTCAGGCATGAACAAAAGACAGAAAGTACCAAAGCAGTTACACCATTCCATACCATAGTTTACTTCTATAGCCCATTTAAAATGCAGCATGGGAGCTGCCCAAAGTGCCGCACAGGCTGGACCAAACACGACCAATCAAAGCAACCAAAACAGCATAAAAATACTGATCAATAAAAGCAAATAAAACATGAGGAATACTAAGAACACATTAAAACAATAATACAATAAAATAATAGAATGAGTCACTGTCTAAAAGCCAAGTCGTACAAGTGGGTCTTTAAACAAGATTTAAAAACCACCAATGATGGAGCCTGTCAAACTATAATAGGAAGCGTTCCACAGCTTTGGGGCAGCATGTACAAACACTCGTTCACCCCGTGATTTGTAACAAATCCGGGGAGTGCAAAGCAGCAGGAGGTCAGCCGACCTCAACGTGTGCGTGGGTACATAGGGAGTGAGCAGGTCAGAAAGATAGAGAGGTGCCAGGTCGTTGAGTGCTTTAAAGACAGAAGTCAATAGCTTAAACTGTACTCGGAGAATGACAGGGAGCCAGTGAAGACATGCCAGGACAGGGGCAATGTAGCTGTGCCGGTGCGTGTTTGTCAAGAACCTGGCAGCAGCGTTCTGGACGACCTGCAACTGATTCGGGGCAGAGACCGGAGCACCAACTAGGAGGGTCCAGGCGAGAGGGAATGAAAGCGTGGATGACTGACTCCAAATGCCTCCGCTTCAAGATTGGTCTGAGGCGAGTCAGGCGGCGAAGCTGATAAAAGCAAGACCTCACGACTGAGTTAATCTGTGGGGCCGTTGATAGTTCAGCATCTAGCTTTACCCTGAGACTTGTCACACACTGTTTGGGGTTGAAGGTTAAAAGGTCACAAACAGGGTGAGAGCCGTGGTGGTTGGGGGGGTCAAAAACTATAGACTCAGTCTTCCTTTCGTTTAACTTTAAGTAATTAGATGCCAGCCAGCCCTTCACGTCTAAAAATGCTGGAAATGGCGAGCCCGCATTATCCTCATCCATTGCTACATATATTTGGCAGCCATCCGTGTAGATGTGATAGCTCAGGCCATGCGGATTCAGGATTTTGCCCAGAGGCAGATGGTAGATAGAAAACAGCAATGGCCTGAGAATGGAGCCTTGTGGCACCCCCCAGGGGAGTGGGAGACAGGAGGATGCACAGTCACCAGTCTGAACAGAGATGGGTTGGTTGGATAGGTAGGAGCGGAACCATTGATGTGCCACCCCAACCCAAGACCCAAGCCGGTCCAATAAAACATGGTGATCGACCTGCAGGTTCTCAGCTGTACTTAGAGCTACCACTGATCTTTATTCAGCTGTTTCGTTATGTAGGAAAAAACAAAAGTATTTCATTTACCTGCTCATCTTCCTGCCTTTGTAAATCACGACTCATAAATACATTTGTAACATCTACAGAAACAATCCCAGTTTCTAAGCGGATTTTCTATTCTGTCTTCTAACACCCAGAGGATGCCGCTGTGCTTGTTGACTTTCCACGAAGACAAGACTGTCAGCCCATGTCTCCAAACAAAGCTTCCCTCTGATAAGACTGCAGGATTCCTCCCTCTGAGTGAAGAGTGAACTTTTACATCTCATAAGTTAATAACCATAAATAATCATATGGTTGAATGAACAAGATGTTATATGAATAATAATTATAATGCTTGAATAATCTGTGCCTAATTCAGTAAAGTTGAAATGAATATTATTATTACAATGAAACATTTACATGTTATGATCAGTAATGTTTGATTTAACACGTGAATCATTATCTACACTCATCCACAATGTTCATTAGCTGCAAACTCAGGTTAAAGCCATCTCACATAAGGTTTAAAGATTCTTTATCCACAGAACAAGAACATCTCGTATCTGGAAGGTGTGGCTTCTGAGTGATGTTTGGTAACGCCGACTAT